CAGCTGGATATAGTCTGGAGTTCAAGGGAGAAGTCAGGTAAAAGATACAAATTTTGAGACTCATCTTATACAGATGTTCTTTCTGTTCATGAGATTATATGAGATCACCTGGAGAGTTAATATAGGAAAGAGAAGGCATCTAAAGACTGAGCCCCAGAGTGCCCAACATTTCGAGGTTATCAAGATAAAGATGAATGTAGTAGAAGTTAGGTGAGGACTGTGTGATGAAGTAAATGAAGCTCAAGAATTGGCCATTAGATTGGGCCATGTGGTGGCTATTGCTGACTTTGACAAAAGATGTTGCAGTAGAGTGGCAGGGTGACTTCCTGATTACAGTTGCTCAGGAGGGTTGGATTTTGTTTTTGTCTTTTTGGATGGAAACTATTGTAGCATATTTGTTTGTTGTTGAAAACAAGCCAGAGTGGATAATCCCTGGACTTGTGTTTTTGAGTAAGAAAGAAGAATTGGGATCCAGTGCATAATAAGTAAGCCACACAGGGTAATTTATACCTTCTTGAAAGGTCTGTCATGTCTTTGCCTCATCCTGGCTTCCCTCTGGCTGGAATGCCCTCACTTTCCTTAGTCCAGTATCATCACCACCACTACTCCACCCATCAACAATTCATGCCTCAAAGCATAACACATTACATGTTCTTCATGACATCATTCTCAAATTCCTAGGACATAATTTATCTATTTCCCTTGAGTGTTATTGTGCATTTGTTGTACCTGACATCACTTAGCATGGACTGCTGCCTAGTATTTCAGTCTTCCTTCCCAAGTAGATACTTTGTTCCTTAAAGGCTCATGATCTCTGATTTCTGACCTCACTCAACTATTATTATAAGAGACATTTAATTAGTGGATGTTTTTGGCTCATAGGAAGTCCTTAATTTTTGTTCGATGAGAATGTACTATATGGATATAAGGAGTTCCTCTTACTCTCATTTGATGAGGTTGGCTCAGGTTTGGAGGACATGGTTTCAGACTCCATTGTTGAGTGATTACTCTGTAACTCATCCCCAGTACCTGCATAATACTGTATATAATAGACTCTGTCTGAATTTTATTAAGAATCTGTGTTCACCTTATCGCCTAAGCAACCCTGTATATAATTAAGACTTTCTAAAGTGCTTTGTAGGTAGTAAATATTTGAATTGATTGATAAACCTTTTTCTTTCTCTCCTTATTTTTCCTTTCAAGCTACAATAAACTGGTGTTTTGTAGGCAAATTCTGGCCAGGAATCACCCCATGTCCTACTTCCCAAAGCTTATTCTAGAGAATCAGTTTGATAAGCAAATCATCTCTTGAGAGTCAGTCATTTCTGAAGAACCAATGGCTGCTTAACTTCCAGTCAAATCAATGCCAAAGGTTGTGGGTGCTTAAGTTAGGTATTGCCTGTACTATAGACAGGGCTAAAAAGAACATCCTCTTTGGGACCCAGCCAGTCAAGTCTAGATCCTACCACGGAGCAAGTCACTTCAATTCAGTCACCCTCTTTTTTTTTTTTTTTTTTTTTTTTGCAGCACTGAGGTTTGAACTCGGGGCCTCACTATTGCTCTGCCACTTGAGCTACTCCATCAGCCCTGTTTTGTGTTGGATATTTTCGTGATAGGGTCTGGTGAATATTTGCCCCAGCTAGCCTCAAACCACAATCCTCCTGATCTCTGTCTAGAATTACAGGTATGAGCCACCAGAGCCTGGCTTCGTCACCCTCTTTGAGGTTTTCATTTTCTTCCCTAAAAATTTTGTAGATTTGCTGACAAAAGTTAGATATACATGTGCAGAGTGCCCAGCCCAACACTTTAATTCGTATTAAGTGCTGAGTAAATGCTCACTGCTATTATTCCCCCTTCTTAGACTTTGCTTTCATTTTTGTCTTTCTGTCACAATGGGTTGCTGCTATCCCGCTTCAAAGATAGGGAGAAGATACTCTAATAAGGGGTATGTGCAACGGCTTCTTTCCAGTGCCTTTCCTCCCTGTCTGTCATGGGTTCACATCTCTGGCTATTTTTTTTTAGCCCCTTCTGTTCCTTTTCCCGCTTGAAGGCAGTTGAAGGAAGAAAGTTTGCTGTTGAACTTGTGCTTCTGAAGTAACTGTTCTTTTGTTCTGTAACTCAGAGCTAGATCCAGATGTGTGACTCCACCTGCTGGAGTCAAACTGCAATTGCACCTCTGCATCTGATTGAGGTCTAGAAGGCCATCTCCTCAGCCCTCCTTATGAGCTAGGGCTCACTTTCAGTGTGCCAGGGTGTTTCTGGTGATTTTGTTTTTCTAGTGATTTGAGTCTGCATCTTTGAGAGAAAAAGTGGGAGAAGTGTAAAACTCTGTTCTAACAGAATTAGACACTGTGTTTGTGTCTTCTGAGTTGCAGTTTTTCATTTATAAAATGAGGATAAAGAGCTGGGGGCAGCTGGGTGCCGGTGGCTCACGTCTGCAATCCTAGCTACTCCGGAGGCAGAGATCAGGAAGATCACAGTTTGAAGCCAGCCTGGGCAAACAGTTCATGAGACCCTATCTCAAAAAAACCCATCACAAAAAAGTTCTGGTGGAGTGGCTCAAGGTGAAGGCCCTGAGTTCAAACCATAGTACCGCAAAAAAAAAGTGGGGGCATGGCTCAAGTGGTAGAGCCCTTGTCCAGCAAGCCTGAAGCCCTGTTCAAATATCAATACTGACAAAAAAAACAAAACAAGTAAAATGGGTTTTAATTAGTGCAATGGTTCACATCTGTTGTCCCAAGCAAGAGGATTACTAAGTCAGGGTCAGCCTCGGCTACAAAGTGAGACCCCCCCCAATCTCAGAAACAAATCACGAATATTGATGCTGACCGATTATTATTATTATTATTGCAATAATACAAAGGATGCAAAAAGCTTGTGTTTTTTAGACATAATGCAGTGTTATTATTCTCATTTCCTTACCCAGGCTGGGCCAGGCTTGGAGGAAATTGGTACCAGGCTCTACATTCGCTTATTTACTTTCCAAGCACCCTGTCCTACGTAAGAGGCAGAACCTGGAGAGATGGCCAAGCCATAATATCTTGTGGTAGATCTCTACAGTCTTGCCATCCAAGAAGGTGCTGCACCATAAGCCAAAACATTAATTGGCCAGCACTCAGTCCTAGCCACGGTTGCTGTAGCTTAGTAATTTGGATCTAGGGAGCTTTCTTTACTCTCTGCTCCACCAGATTCCAAGAAAGAATTTTGGATTAAACTCCTTTTAAAACTGACTCATCTGCTGTAGTTATTTAGCCAAACTGAAGAACATTCTGGGAGTTCTCAGAAATAAGAGAAATATATTTCTGGCTGGGGGTGTGGCTCAAGAGGTAGGGCACCTGCCTTGCAAACTTACAGTCCTGAGTTCAAACCCCAATATCACCAAAAATAAGCAAACAATCAAAAACCTTCTTGTGGGCTGGAGGTTTATCTTAGTGGTAGAGTGCTTGCTTAGCATCCTTGAAACTCTAGGTTGGATCCCCAGTACTAGAAAAACTACCTAGGAAAAACTTCTAGCTAACACTGAGTTTCTATAAGGTATCAGACATTATAGTTAGAACTCACTTAATTCTCATAACGTTCTTTGAAATCGATATTTATTATTTCCAAATTACTGAAAAGGAAACTGAGCTTCAAAAAAGTCAAGTCTCTATTCCAAGTCCCATTGAGAGTTAAGTGACAGAGCTGGAATTTGAATTAATTCTTATTCCAAAATTACTGTTCTGACCACTACACTATGAGACGTTCCATCACTCTATGGGAAGAAAGACCATGTACTACATGGGATAACTCAGATTTCCATTTTTAGTGTCTATATGTAGATCCCAACTTTGCCTCCATGATCTGGAGAAAGTGGCTTCCAGCTTCCCCAAGCCATAGATACCGTCTCATTAAATCACCACAGCCATGTGACATAGGTGCTGTTGTTGCCTGATTTCCTCTAGGATGCTTTACAGCTTGAACAACTCCCCATCAGCCCTCTGGTTTCCATTTGAGTAGATAAGGTAGGCTTCAGTGAGATGAGATGACTTCCCAAGGTTACAGAATAGTAAATAGAACTCAGGTCTAGGTCTGTCTAACATCTGGTTTATTGTTCTTTCCACCATATCACAGCCACCTTCTAACATCTGGTGTATCACTCAAGGTAACATATGCCTCTCAGGATACTGGCTGGATGCCTGTATGAGGGGCAGCAGTCTAACCCTTTTCTTTCTCTTTTTTCCTCCTGTAGTCTCCATCTCTTGGAAACTTTCCTGAGGCAATATAGATATTTGAAACTCAGAGAAAAGGCTTATGTAGTACTTTAAAATGCCCAGACTGCCTCATAGAAGCCTGGGAACCTGCCTCCTGTTCTTTGTATGGGTTTGCACTGTTACTCTGGCAGCATGTTATTGGGGGAGTGGGGGGGGGAAGGATATCTAGTTTTGGGAAATTTCTTTCTGAGCTTTGTTCTGTTTTGTTTTGCTTTTGAGACAGGGTCTCACTATGTAACCCAGGCAGAGGCAGGAAGACTATGAGTTTGAGGCCAGCCTGGGCTACATAATGAGACATTGTCTTGAAAAAAGAAAAAAATTATATATCTATATACGTATAAATATACACATTATGGTAAGCGTGTGTGTATGTATAAATGCATGTGTGTATGTTATATGTACTAGAATTTCCTCAACACAGTTCTAGTGTGCTAGAATCTATAACACATAGTGGAATGTGTCTTGGCTCATTTGTTTTTGGCTATTTAAAGGTTTATTTATTGCTTTTAATTACTGTTTTATAATTAAGTGGTCCCCTGTTGGTTTCCTGCTATGATTTTTAAAGCAAATATATATATACACAATATTGAACTTATTAATCTTTATTTTTAAAATTTTTCTTTGTTCTCTTTTTAAATCTTTTTCCCTTGGCAGTACTAGGGTTTGAACTCAGGGCCTTATGCTTGCCAGGCAGGTGCTTTATCACTTGAGCCATGCCCCAGCCCTTGAATTTTTAAATTTTCTTCTCAGGAAAAGAAGAAAAAGAAACATAGAGACAGGAAGTCATCTGACTCTGACAGCTCAGACTCTGAGAGTGACACTGGCAAGAGGACAAGACACACGTCAAAAGACAGCAAGGCAACAAAGAAAAAGAAGAAGAAGAAAAAGCACAAGAGGAAGCACAAGGAGTGAGAGTGGGGGGGGGGGGCGCTGAGAGAATAAGGAGCCAGGAGGTGTGCTTGAAGCTCTGGCTCCTGGAAAGACTCGGTAGTGAGAATGCAGCCTCCCACCCACTGGCTGTTCCCATGGGAGACGCCTTTCCCTCATGCAGCCGGCAACTTTGGGAGCTAGAAGGCAAAAAGCAGCTGCCTGAATGAGTTGTTTTCTTATCGCTCCTGATCCCATTGCAAGTGACCCCTGCAGCCCACTCATTCATTCTCCCAGCTTCCTTCATACAGCAGGAGGTACCGTTATCCTCCCCAGCTGCCACTGCCAGAGCTGGATCCCCTGCAGGAGTCCAGGCTAGAGCCACAAGTACTGCTGTAGAGGTGAGCCTGGGTATAGCTAGAGAACAGTGATTGGCTCTTTCCTGTCAGTCTGTGTTGGACCAGTTGGTGAGTGGTCTTTCCTGCCTGCAGCTCAAGAGCAGGAGACTGGCAGCAGAAGGGAGAACTTGGTAAGAACCGACTGGTGCTCACTTTTTCCATTCCCTCAACATGGTTCTACTATGCTAGAAGTGACCACAGCCAGAAAACCATCATTTGCAGTGTGACTTATCTTGTGTATGACATTCCAACAGACACCACTGAACCAGACATCTGAAGCCAAGGTCATTGCTCTGCTTTCTGTTTATTACTGTGTGAGTTGATTCCACTTCAGGTCTCTGCTTAAATTCCTAGCACTAAATGGAAGTGTGTTTGGTTTTAAACTTACCAAAAGTTCTTTTTCCTATAATCCTCTTCCTAGGTAACTTACAGACTTAACAGTTACTGAGCCTGCATCAGTTGACAGGAAAACATTTAATATGTTATCTGAGACCTTGGAGAGAGGCCAAGCTGAGGTACAGAGCCAGAGGCACTGGAAGGTCAGAGTCTTTTTGAGAGATCGCTTACAGCCCTCCTTTTTGTAGTGATCAGTGACCTTTTTCCACAGGGTTGATTAGAGAATTAGTAAGAATGGGGTACTAACCTGCAGTGTAAGCGCAGCAGTCCCTTTGGCCAGTGGCCATCTCCTACCACAGTGGTGCAAGCCTAGATCCTGTGTCCTGAATCTGCATTCCACAGAGAGCCAGACCCAAAAGTATTCAATGCAGGACTGGCCTGAGGTGACCACTCAATGACTAAGTCTGGGGAAGCACCATACTGACTGAACTAGCTCACTTGATGATAAAAAGGCAATATGTAGGTATAGCTGTTTCATTTTTGAATATGTAAGGCAGTCAGCTGCCTAGCAGTCCCTCAGACTGTCCATTTCACCTTCTTATCCAGTGCTGCTGCTTGCCTGAGCTTCAGGCAGTCACACAGGGAAAAGGCAGACTCCAAGAGTCATGTCATGAAAGATAAAAAGGCAATGGGGTGGCCTTTTCTATGTTTTATTGACCTTAGAGCACCCCTTGGATGCAGTTTTTAAAAAAACACATACACAATGGGAACTGAAACTGTATTCAGGCTGGTACCACTTGGCCCCAGAAGAATTCCCCAATCAAAGTGGATTTATACAAAATACCACAGGAAAAAAAAAATGAGGCAATGCGGTACTGAGTCGAGGGATAGCCAGATGGCAGAGGAGCAGTCAGTGACAGCGCCGGGAGGTCATGCCTCTTTCTCGTAAGTGCGAGTGCTCACTGCATTGCCGTGGGTGAGTGTCTAGAAGGAAAGACAGAGTCAGATGGTGCAGAGCAAGGCAGGCCTCCACAGTGCTCACATTCCCTCCATCCTGATGGTCACCTCTGTGTACTTACTATGTGCCAGGCACTGTATATATGTGTTTGTTCTGATACAAGGCTTTAAGATCGATATTATAATTCCTATTTTAGCAATTTGGAAAAATAAGTCTTGAAAGAGAAGTTAGTCAAGATCCAGAATGTTCCCCTTTCTCTTATACCATTCAGCTTTCTTCAAGCTTAGCACCTAAGATGGTACTGGCACATAGTAAACAGATAGGTAAATAAAAATGTCCAGAGACTCAAGAAAGAACTCTGCTAAACTGCCAACTCTTCCTTCCCTAATTCAGGGAAATGCCAGGGCTAGATACCTGAACTCCCACTTTTTTCAGTCTGACATCATGAAGCCAAGCCTCACCATAGTCTAAGTGCCCAGTGAGTATTTGGTCCTGCATGTTACATCTCCACCACAGCTAGGCACCTCATTCCTAACTTTGTGGGGACCCCATCTGGTGTGAATGTGAGAAATGCAGTCAGCAGGTTCCGCTGACACAGGGAGGTCTGCGTTGCAGATGCTGAGGTGAGAACCTGAGGCCTTACCAAGAAAAGAGACAGAGACCATGATGGCTGCTCTCTGTGCCCCTGAGTCCAGGGACAGTTCAGTCAAGCCAACATTCTCCCCAAGCTTATCCCTAAACAGATTTGTGGGCCTACTTGTGTTATTTCCTGCCCAGGCAATAGTCAAGTATTTGCAGGGTACTAGCCATACAAAGCCATACAAAGGAGAGGGAGACTGAACTGGGGAAGACTGGAATAGGCACTGCCAGTCAGTGCCCGCCCCCCACCAGTCACTAGCCTGCCCCTGTACATGAACATGCAATCCTAGAGAGGAGGGGGAAGGGAATGCTGGGATGGGAGATGGGAGCCTCTCTCTAGAGAACCTGGGATCAGATTGGCCCTGCTTTCTACCTTTTCTTGGGGGAGGCAAGCCAAAAATAGGATGAAGAAACTAAGGCTGTGGAGCACCTGCTGTATTCCTCCCACCTCCATGATGCTTTCTACTACATATACACTGTCTCTTTCAGACTTCACAGCAGTCCCACAAGGTTGGTATGATTAATACTCATTTTACAGTTACACCTGGAGGTGACTTGCAACCTGTAAGCTGAGATTTGAACTCAGATTTGTGTGACTCTAAAGCAAAGACCCTGCCTCTGCCTCTTTTCTTAGCTTCAATGGCTTTCATGGCAGGACTTTGGCTGAAAGGGCAGTGTAGTAACTAATTAGGTGAGGTTCCAAAGCTTTCCATCTTACCAGAATGAGTTTTCCATCACTTAGCTCCCGCACAAGTGTTGTCTCTTGCCCATCCCACTTCTGCACATGGACAAGCTTTCCTCCATCCAGCGTCACAAGGGACTGTGGAAAGAGGATAGCGGCATAAGTAGTGATGTGAGCCAGGATTGAGGAGCACGATGGGTTCAGAGTCACAGAGGACAGCCTCTGACCCAACCTAGTTACAGTATCAGGCAACCCCTGCCTTGTAACCTAGCCTGATACGGTGCCCTCCAGCTTCTGCTTCATGGCTGCCTGACTGGGGGAGAGGCCTTCAGGTTACTGGATGAGTTGGGAGAGTCAGACAGCATGGCAAATCCAGATGGTCTAGCCCAGAAGCACCAGGAGATGGACACTTAGGTTGGGGATATAGCTCAGGGGTAGTGCTTAGCATGCACGAGGCCCTGGGTTCAATTCCTCAGCAACCCTCCAAAAAATGGTTACTTATTCTATACTCTAGGTAATGTCCTTGGCCCTGTTTCCCCTCAGATAGAGGAACATGTACCCGTCCCTATCCCTGAGAAAGACTGGCTGAGGAGAAGTTCTGAGACTCTAGCCTTGTGGTCATCATAGCGTCTAAAAGACACTTAGTGTTGGGAAGCATTGGAAAACTAGACTTCCCTCCCCACGTCCCCTCTTCTTGGTCCACTTCCTGTGACCCCTTTAGCTGACAAGAGGGCAGCAACGGCAAAGTTCCGGGACTCGGTGTCCCTGGAGTATTCCTCAGTCCTGGCTCAAAAGCCCTCTTAGCCCTCTGGGTGCTGCCAGCCTTCATCAGCTGGTTTGCATGTGGCAGCTCTCCCGGGTCTTTCTCTAGGAATTTGGGGGTGGTACACCAGACTAAGGAACTGTCACTGAGCAGGGTTCAGCAGGAGGCTGGGAAAGTTGTGCATGTTTGGGTTGCTTATCTCTTGGTGTGCTGTCTGTATACCATTTTACCTCCTATTCTCATTCTCCCCAGGTTTTTGCCCACTCAGAACAGGTTTTTTTTTTTTTTTTTTAATCAGTGGGAACTTGCCTTCATGCTTGGAAAGTAGACACTCCACTGCATAAGCCACACCTCCAGTCCATTTTGCTCTGGTTATTTTTTTGGAGATGGAGTCTCTAAACTGTTTGTCCAAGCAGGCCTTGAACTGTGGTCCTCCTAATCTCAGCCTCCCAAGTGGTTAGGATGATAGGTGTGCACCACTCACATCTGGTTCTGAATAGATTGTTTCGTCCTAGACATCTCAGAGGACCCCTGTTGTGCTCTGTGGAGTTCTTGCCCCTCCAGAAGGTAGCAAGACCAAGGAGGTAGTGGCATGTGGTGGGACAGCCACCTTCATCCAAGGAAGGCTGCCGTCTTTGGGCACCATCCCCTGTTCCACTGTCTCAGCCTGCTGTGGGATCCTGGGCTACACTTTATCTCCTCTTCCTCTATAAGGAGACCAGCCCCTACCCTGTTCTTCTTGGAGGCAGCTGTGAGGAAGAGGAACGAACAGCTGAGGAGCTGAATTTTAGGGTCATGGTGGAAAAGATACTGCTGTAGAGATACCCTGTCAAAGTCAGTCCCTTGGTTCTGTCTCCCATGCCTGGCCCAGTAGTGGGAGGCAGAGGCACCATGGGGTGACAAAGCCGACTGGGAATACTTGCTGCCTACTCACACCCTGGGGGAGGGGGCTAAGGCTTGGTGGGAAGACTGCAAACACCCACAACAACATGAATGCACATTCCAGAACATAGCTCCTCCTGCCTGTAAGTTGGCAGCACTGGAAACAGTGCAGCAGGTCACTGGCCAAATCTGAGAGCTGAAGCTGCAGAAGAGGAAGCATCTGAGTAGGTCCCAGCCTCTTGTTCCCAGTTGCTGGAGGCCTGGATGACCTTACTCAGAGGCAGGCCCTGACTTCTCCTGGGCTTCATTCCTAAAGCACTTTAGGTCACAATCATGCTACTTAACTCCTCCATCTATGAAAGAGGAAAAAAACCCAGAGCTAATGCATACCTTGCATGAGGTCACTCAGATGGAGCTAGCATAGACATTAAGGTCAGAAGAACATCCTAGCTTGTGCTGCTCACTCACAGACAGCTAGTAGATGCTTCCCAAGAAGGGAGGGAAGAAAACAGAAGAGTAGAACTATGTACTGAGCTCCAGGGACACTGAAGCACTGAGCAGGCTTTATGAACCTTCCTTCATCTAAATCCCTCATAATAACCCTCAAAAGAGTACAGTGCAAGGAACCAAGGAGACAACCAGCCTCTTTCCCTTCAGGGTCTCAGTACCCTGCATTCCCCATTCCCCCTTCCCTCACTCACCTTGACCTTCCTGTCGTCTGCTGTTGTCTCATCAAACTCCACTCCCAGCTGAAAGCTGATTTCTGTGTTCTTGAAGGTGCTGTGTGTTTTTATGATGACAGTGCTGTCTTTCTTCTCGATGATTGTGGTAGGCTTGGTCATGGAAGCCACCTGCCTGGTAGCAAAGCCCACACCTGAGGGCAGGAAGAAAGTTAGGAGTATATGAGCTGGAGCAGAGAAGCACTATAAAAGCTCAAGGGATAACTCTCATGCTCAGGTGTGGGGCAAAGGAGGACCATAGCTTTCAAGGCCTTTTTTTATTACCAGTACTTAAAAAAATAAAAAATAAAAAAAACACTACCAAGGCAGTACTGAGGTTTGAACTCAGAGCCTTGAGCTTGCTAGGCAGGCACTCTACCACTTGAGCCATGCCCTAAGCTCTTTTTTGCTTTAGTTATTTTTCAGATAGGGTCTTACATTTTTGCCCTGGGCCATCCTCAGACCAAAATCCTTCTACCTATGCAAACCAGTAGCTGAGATCACAAGTGTGGGCCACCAAACCTGACTTTTTTTGTTGAGATGAGTCTCAATAACTTTTTGCCTAATTGGCCACAAACCAAAATCCTCCTTATCTTCCCCCGCCCCAAGTGGCTGAGATTATAGCTGCCCTGCTTTCAAAACCTTTGTGATAGGGCTGGGGGAGTAGCTCAAGTTGTAGAGCACCTGCCTAGCAAGCATGAGGTCCTGAGTTCAAACTCCAGTACTGCAAATAAATAAATAAATCTTTAATTGGAAAAAATGGGGAAATAAAAAAAAAAAAACCTTTGCCACATTTAAGAAAAAACAGAACCATCAACTAAGCTGACAGAGTGGTTCAACTGGTAAGAACACCTGCCTTGCAAGCGTGAGGCCCTGAATTTGAATCCAAGTGCCACCAAAAAAATTAAAAAAAAAAAAAAAGATTACATATTTAAGAAAAAAGGGCTGACAGAGTGCCTTAAGTGGTAGAGCACCTGCCTAGCAAGCGTGAGGCCCTGAGTTCAAGCCCAGTAAAAAAAAAAAAAAATTCCAGTTTTGAGCCAGGAGCTGGTGGCTCACACCTGTAATCCTAGCTACTCAGGAAGCAGAGATCAGAAGGATCATGGTTGGAAGCCAGTGTGGACAAAAAAGTTCATGAGACCCTATCTCGAAAAATCCTTCACAAAAATAGGGCTGGTGGAGTGGCTCAAGGTGAAGGCTCTGAGTTCAAGCCCCAATACCTCAAAAATAAATAAATAAATAAATAATAAACCAAACTTTGTGAGGTCATTTTTGATTATTATTATTCAGTCTTTTCCTTAGCTCTGTGCAGCCATTAGATAGATGAGAGATGCAAGGAACAGGCATGCCATAGCAAGTCAGCGACAGAGTTGAGATTAAAATAAAGTATTGAGTACTTTCTGGATGGTAAGAAACATACATATGCTACCTAAATCAGTCCTTCCTGTCCTTTTGGAGGACTGATTCTGTCATCTCCACTTTATAGATGCAAACACTGAACTGGGTTTAAGCCCAGGTCACTGATCTGAGATTGAAGCCCTGAGCTATTGGGCTCCAGAGCTCACTTAACTGCTCAGCAATGCAGTCTTCTAAGGTACAGCACCAGGCTGCCTTCCAGGGCACCTGAGTGTCTAGAGCTGGGGGCTGAAGAAAGGAGAAATGGATTTTGCCTTCCAAAGCCCTTGGAACAAGGATTTTGTACCTTGGGAAGTTCTTATCCTGAAACCTGAGTTGCATTAGTGCTCTTGTCCCCTATAAGTGGCAAAATGACAGCTTCAAAGCCTCTTGTTTAGGAGGTGGACACAAGGGAATTTTGTCCCATTGTACAGGTTTAGGAAATGGCTTAAAGTGGTAGCAACAATGAACTGAGACTCAAACTCAAAAGCCTCCTGCCTCCTAGTCTGGGGCTCTGGGGGAACTCTTCTGATCAAGCATGGCTTTCCTATATGCTTGGCAAAGTCCTTAGTGCCCTACAGGCAGGTACAGAATTCTTTAGGCCAGACCTTCCCCCTTCAGGTTGTAGCTTTCCTGTGGTCTGTCCCTCTGCCCTCAGCAGCTATACTAAGCTGACCTCCAAGGCATAGGTGAGGCAAGAGGCAGCTCAGTGTGGTGTGGTGGTGTCAGGTCTCCAAATGTGCCTGGTGACACACTGCTTGCTGGAAGCTATGTCCTTTACACATGCTCCACATGGGTTGTTTTACCTAATGGTTGGAACGGTCCTATTACTCCCAGTTTACAAATGAGGCTCAGAGAGCTGGGTGTCTTACCCAAAATCAACAGAAGTGATTGACCTAGAGTCTCAAAGTATTCACTATTCCCACTGTGCTGTTTTGCCCAGCATATACTCAGTCCAGCAAGGCTATCAGTTGTGCCTGTGGTCACTGGTGTAGGCTGGGCTTCTACCAGTGCCTAAGAACCCTGGGTCTAGGGCAAAAGGGGCAGGGACTTCAGCCATAGCCGTGCTGATGCCAATCTACCCTCCCCTGCCAGGGAGGGACCTGGTATCTGAGATACCTCCTAGTAGCTGAGTGAGTTGGACCAGTTATGTTTCCCAGGACAAAGCATGGCTTTGGCACTGAACCAGGAGCTATCTGCTTAGGACCTTCCTCAGAAGTGTGGAGCGTTTGAGGAAGGAAAACACCTTGTTATTCCGAGACTGAGCTGAGAGAAACTAAGAAAACTGGGCTGACAGAATTTTGGAGACTCAGAGAGATGGATTCTGCTTAGAAATGAAGACAGAACTATTTACTGAGAGCTGGGTAGGTCTTCTCTCTTCAGTGGGCCTTAACCTTTCCATATGTATGATGAGAAAAGCAGGCTGAATGAAATCTTGGCCCCTCACATAAGCTGCCCTGGGCTAAAGACGTGGTTCTGTCATAGAGCACATGCTTAGCATGTCCAAGACCCTGGGTTCAGTCCCCAGTGACACACACACACACACACACACACACACAACCCAAAGACAACAGGTTTTTGTTTTTGGTTTTTTTTTTGTGATACTGGGGTTTGAACTCGAGGCCTACACCTTGACCCATTCAACCAGCCCTTTTCTGTAATGGTGTTTTTCAAGCTAGGATCTGGCAAAGTATTTGTGCAGGCTGGCTTTGAACTCAGTCCTCCTGATCTCTGTCTGAGTAGCTAGGATTACAGGAGTGAGCCACCAGCACCCAGCCAAGACAACAGGTCTTTAGGATACCTGCTCCCCAGCCCAACTTGGGGCAGAATAAGGGAACATAAGATTGCTGCACCTCTCAGTTCAGGGATTCAGCTGTTTCGCACAATGTCTGCTCTGCTAGGTCTTTTTTTTTTTTTTTTCCTTCAGTACTGGAGTTTGAACTCAGGGCCTCACTAGGCAGGTACTCTACCACTTGAGCCACAGCCCCAGTTCCCCAGTGCCGTCTTTGGGAAGACAGTCTCAAGAATGACTGTCTTTCTGGAGTCACTAGGCATAGTGCCCAGGATAGGGTAGGTGTAGCTGAGAGTTATGGCCTCAGGCACACTTGCGGGCCCTGTTCTAGGAAAGGGACAGAAGCAAAGGTGAGATTGCCCTCCCCCCACAATCTACATCTCCTTTCTTGAGAGGAAGGCATGGAACTTAGCTCAACCTAGGTTTTCCCATCCCAGCCTGTGGACTGGGAAGATACGGCCAGGAATTTCAGGGAAAGGTTATCCCCTCCATCTAAGCCCAAACCAGGGGTAAGCCTGCTGAGGGGAGTCCCGTCAGCAATTCATGCCACTCCTTACTCCCAGGGCCCACAGTGTAGTGGGAGGAGCTCTGGACTATAGATCTAAGAAATCCTGGGTTTTCACATTAGCTCTGCTGTGCAATTTGTGGCACGTTTCTATTCTTGGACTGTTTCCCAGACTAGGCAAGGTATGGCCATCTCCAAGGTCCTTATCTGTAAGATTCTTTGAAGTTTTATTTTTCCTCATTCCATCACCACGAAGCTCTCCATTAGTCCTCCTAGACTTAATGACCCTACCCCCTTTAACAGGTCTTGGCCTTGCCCTGGGACTCTGCTGCACCCTAGAAGTTCAGTGGCTTTCTCCAACCTACCTGCCCAACTGAACAGGTGGTGAGATTGACTGGGGCCGATGGGAAGGCCCAGGTGGTGATGGGCCTCTTGCCTCGCTCTACCACAAAGCTCACCAGCAGTGGTGAAGGCCTGGTTACATACCACTGCAGGACAAGGTCATAACGTGAGAAAGGGGGCACCCTCCAGGGACAATCTTCCCTAACCCAATATGCAGGGAAAGCGATTGTCGCGAATGTGCCAGGTCCCTGTCTCACCTCTTCCCCATATTCTGTTCGTCAATTTTCCTCACTCAATTCCCCTCCCCTTAGGTATTTCCTCCGACTTTAGGACACAGTACACTCCCTGTCTACCCCATTCACCTTCCAGATTCCGGCTTCTCCGATAAGGCCATTGTGTCCCTGTTAATTTTCTCCCCCAGTTAGCCTCCTGCCTTCTGCGCTCAGTGCCCTCCTTTTACCCAGCCCTCTTACCACCTCCCGATCACATACCCCACTTCCTAGAAAGCACCACCCGGACATGGGTGGATTGCAGCCTCTTTGCTGCGCCTCCCAACCTGGATATTCCCCTCGCCAGATTCAGGCATTGAACCCGCCCTCCCACAGGTTCCCCCACCACCACACACACACACACACCCCATGCCCTAGTCCAGGCTGCCATCTCTTCGTCCCTATTCTCCAACCTTGACCAGGAGGTAGGGATTCAGCAGTGCGCCCGCCCGGGGCCCTAGCCAGGCGGGATCGCTGCTCCGGGTACGCATGCGGCCAGTCCCTCCCCATTCCCGCAACCCGAGCTCCGAGCTTGCTCACCAAGTGACTTGAGGTAGTCATCAAAATTCTTGCTGTCTGTTAGCTTCCAGGTGCCCACGAAGGCGTCCACCATGGTGAGGTTGGACTGGGCTGGGAAAGAAGCTGCGAGAGGGAACCTTGCAGGGACTCCGGGACCCGCAGCTCCCAGCCGGAGCCGACGCTTTAAATAGCCCTCGCATCACGTGATTAGACACAGCCCACAACCCGGCTCCCGAAATAGGAAGCCCAAGGCTAGAGCTCACCAGAGGGGCTGGATGCCCATCCCCCAGCCCGCCGAGGGAGGAGGGGACCAGTGGCGCCCCGCTTGCCTGCGTCAGCGCGGGTGCGGGGCCTCGGAGTCCCTGCCCACGCTGGCAGGACCTGTCCCCTTCTCTGGCTTCAGGGCGACCTCCGGAGCCTGAGAAGGAAGCAGCTGGGGCACCGCTGCAAGCCAGGACGCACGCCACCGACCTCTTCCATCGCCCAGTCCCTCCCTGAGATGAGACTAGAGAAAGCTAGGGGAGCTCTGCTTGACCCTTGTGGCTCGGGCATCCTTGTCCTCGTTTGTAAGTGAGAAGCCCAAGGCTTAGAGGGGAACTGACAAGGTCACGATAAGTAGGAAGTGAGTTGGATCCCAGACAGCACGCCTGGTCTAGCTCGCTCCAGAGCCCAAAGCCCATGTCCTCACCTGGTCTGGGAGAAAGCATGACCCTTCCCTGGTGCCCGCCCCACACGTGCTTGCCCCTCCCTTCGGAATGTCTCCTGCTGGTGCCCCTCCTTCAGCGGTTCTGCTCCCCACCCGCCCTTGCAAGCGTTCTGGTCTCTGAGCTTGTGCTCAGGTCATTCCCCTCACCCTCCTTTAGAAATCTGTCAATTCAGCCCATTCTTCAAAGCCCCAGGCCACCTCACCCACCTGCCGGATAGGTGCCGACACTCCTACAGTCCTTCCTCCGGCTTCTGCCCACCAACTAACCTGCATTCAAACTTGTCACCTCCTTAAAGAGCTGACTGCAGTGTTTTACAGTGTACAGAGCACTTTCAAGAATAGCATGCAGAGGGCTTTAAGTATACTGTCACATTGAACTTTTAAAACAAATTCTATAAAGTAGATACTGTTTTATCCCCTTTTACAGGTGACAAACCGAAGCTCCACAGAGCCCATTCAAGAATTCAGCAGTTTTTGAAATGTGTGTGTGTGAGTGTGTGTGTGTGTGTGTGTGTGTGTGTGTGAGTGAGAGAGAGGGGGAGAGAGAGAGAGAGAGAGAGAGAGAGACTGGTCTACTATCACTAGCCTGGGCTGTTCTCAGACTTGCAATCCTGTACTGGGGACATGTCTCAAATGGTAGAGTGCTTGCGTAGCAAGCAGGAGGTGCTGAGTTCAATCCCCAGCATACTGGAAAAACAAAAACTCTCTCAGCCTCCTGCGTCTGAGTGCTGGGATTACAGGAGAATGCCACCACACCCAGCTTAATTCATCAGTTATTAAAGCACCTACAGTACTGGAGAGGCTGAGGCAGGAGGATGGAGAGTTGGATGTTGGCCTGAGATACATAGTGAGATCCTGTCTAAAAATAAAATACGTGAATATAATAAAACAAAGCACCTCCTTTGTACTCACCCTGCTCTGGAGAGAGACTACAGGGAACAAGACACACACTCAGCCAGCTCACCTCCAGGCATAACTGGAGCCCAAACCAGAGGTCTTACTCTGTGGGTTCAGGTCCAGCCACTTGCCCCAAAGAAAGCAAACAGAAGTAATGGCGAAAGGTAGGAAAGGTGTTTAATCAAAATAACCATTCTGGGAAGGCAGAAAGTAAGCAGTTCAGCCCCTAAATGGGGTACTAACTAACTAGCATGGGCCTTAGTTTTAAATGGAGGAAAAATTGGGGGAGGGGGTAAGAGGTACGCATAGTTAAGTAATCTTGGTCAAAGTGTGGCTGGTTGATCATTATCTCAGTTCTGGTTCTGCAAGGTGACCCAAAGAAGTCCTTAGTGCATGAGGTGACAACCCAGTTCCTGTGACATGATTGCTCCTGCGTGGGGGTGTTTTCATTGTGGGGTGATCTGTCTGCAAATCTCTGCTTTTCCTGGAATCCAAGGTCACCGGCCCTTAGGACAGTAACTGGAGACTTTCAGGTGCCCGTTGGGGGATGTGAGGGCGATCTGGCTGCAACATCTGTCACCCCATTGATCGCCAGGGTTGATTCGGCTGATCTGGCTGGCTAGGCGGGTGTCCCCTTCCTCCCTCACCGCTCCATGTGCGTCCCTCCCGAAGCTGCGCGCTCGGTCGAAGAGGACGACCATCCCCGATAGAGGAGGACCATTCTTCGGTCAAGGGTATACGAGTAGCTGCGCTCCCCTGCTAGAACCTCCAAACAAGCTCTCAGGTGCCCGTTGGGGTCTGGAATAGGAGACATTGTGAAAGCTGACAGCAAGATGCCTCTGTTATTCTTATCTTGTGTCTTCAGCCTTGAAGGTAGGTGTGATAGGTTAGGTGTCACCAGTTTTTAGACAGATGGTCCTGAGCGATTAACATGCCTACGTGCAGAGTTAAGCAGGAGTCTGACCCAAAATCTTATGACAAAGGAGATAGAGACAAAATGAAGGCAGGGATACCAGGCTTTCTTTCTGCTTTTAGTATCTTGTGGGCCCAAAGAGGAATCAGTGCTTTTCAGCAAAAGCATTTTCTAAGTACTTGTTATACAAGGAGCAGTCACACACTAGTGTGGTGACTCTAGGAAGCCTGGCCTGACTTGGGAACTCAGAGGAGGAGAGGTGCAAAGGAATTCCTGACCCTATGGCCCCATGCCTGAGGGAGTGGTGTGGACTGAACTTCAGCCCGCAGAAAGGTGTCCAGGGTAGACATGGGGCAGTCAGCACTAGAGCTGGCGGGGGCCAGGACAGCTCTGCCACACACTTGTATAGCAAGCCCTTCTTCCTGGGCCTCTTGTTTGTCCGTGTGAAGGTCCCTTCCTCTCTTCCCTATGGTTCTCGGAAGGAGGCCAGTAAGGAAGAGTCCTCTCACTTCCTACCCCTGAGGTCTTGACTCCTTTGGACAGTCCAGTTGCCAGAACTGAGAGGCCCATTTCTGCCAAAACTACAGGGACAGGCCTCAGGGCTGGGCATGAAGCCCTGGTGACTTCACCGCCAGAGCAGGTACCAGGGGAGAGGGAGGAAGATGGTTTCCAGTTCAAGGTCATAGCCTTTAGACACAGGGTCTCCTCTCTCAAGGAGCAAATGGCAAAAGACCCAGGGACCAGAGCTGTCTTCCTACAAGATTCAGTGATGGAGAGATGTGGCTGGGCTGGGCAGAAAGATCTGTGTTCCAATCCTGATTTCACTGGGTATTAGCTTTGTGGCCTTGAGCAATTCATTTTAGCCACTCTGAGTCTCAGTTTCAGCTTTGAGATGGGGTACTTGGGGATCGCCTGAGATAATACATTTAAAATGCTGCATATGGTTCACTTAGTAATGACTCACTGTTGCTCTCTTGCTGCTATTGCTTTGTTGCTATTGTTGTTTGTTTGTTTTGGCTTGGTTTTGAGACAAGGTCTCACTATACAGCCCAGGCTGGCCTCAAACTGGAAATCTTCCACCTTCTAAGTGCTGGGATTACAGATGTGCACTAACATGCCTGGCAAGCATGGGATTTTGAAAACTAGACAAACCCCAGACCAACTCCCATCCTCTCTTCTGAGAATGCAGTTCTCCCCCATCCCTGTGAGTACCTTGCCCTGTTAGCTCAGTACCTTGGGATAGGGAGTGAGCCCTGTCCCTTTTCCTGCTCTTCTTGCCCTTGGCAGATCTAGATGTGGCTGTAACATCTGGCAGACAGCAGAACTAGTGCCTGTCAAGAGCAAAATCTCCCCAGTCCTCACCCTGTGGTGATGTCACTGTTCTGTTTCCATGGCAACCACAGGATTGGAAGATGGAGAAGAGGAGAGATGAGTAACCAGAAGGGAACCAATGAGATGGGCCAGCAGCACCGGCTGATCCATGGGGCCATCTGGAGGGGGGAGGGAAGGGAGGTCTGCTCAGCATGTTCAGTTGTTTCCTGGGCCCTCCCTGACATCTGAATGCCTCCGCCAAGAAATGAGCTACTAGCATGGGAGAGCGCCTACAGATAGTGGCCAAAGAAGATGAGCTGGGTGGAGCTGAGCCAGTGGATGCTGACCCCCTCCTCCCCGCAAATACCTATAACTGGGAGTTTGGAAGCTTTTCTCTTTTGCTGGTAATGGCAGCCAGAAGGGCACTCTGCCTCTGCCTGTCACGGAATCATCAATTCTTAGATGATTCTTTTCCCCTTTCCTCCATACCCCTCCCTTGGTGCATGGTGGGTTCCATTTGGAAAGGCCTGTGCTCCAAGCCTACTAACTAGACCCCTGGAACAAGCCTCCCCCTCACCCCCATGTCCCCTTTCCTATCAATGGAGGAAGTCATCAGCTTCACAGGATTCAAAGAAAGACTAAATGGGGCTGGGGTGTAGCTTAACAGTACAGTGCTTGCGTAACTAGCATGTGTGAGGCCCTGGGTTCCATCTCCAGCCCCACCAAAACACAGACAGAGATAAGCTGGGTGCCAGAGGCTCACACCTGTATGAGACCAGTAGGATCACAGGTTTGAGGCCAGCCTAGGCAAGTAGTTCTCGAGATTCCTTCTCCAAAATAACCAGAGCAAAATGGGCTGGAGGTGTGGCTCGAGTGGTAGAGAGCCTGCTTTGCAAGTGGGAAGCCCTGAGTTCAAAACCCAGTACCAACAAAAGCAAAAAAACACAACAAACAAAAGAGAGAGAACAAGCATAAGAGAATAACTGGGAAGCCTAACACACACTAATATATTCAATGAACAGTAATTCCTTTCTCTTTCTCTCTTCCAAGTCTCCTTCCTAGGACAGGTGAATGGGCCAAGTTAGAAGGAAAGGATCTATGGCAATTTCTACTGAGGTCATGGAGCAGCCTTCAGATACTGCAGAGAAGTTTTCTCATCTCTCCCTTGCTCTCTTGGCCTTACTGTTTGAACTCAATGCCTTAAGCTTGCTAGGCTACATCCCCAGCCCTTCTCCCTTGCTCTCTCTTTAAGTAATTTGTCCATTCTACTAACCTTACTTGAGTACCTCCCATGGCCAGGCACTGTGCTGTGCTCAATGGGGACCCTGGGTAAACAGGAGAGCC